TTTTACGCTCTTAATAAACCCAAACAAACTTATGTCTTACTTATGTTCCAAACAATTTTTTTACCCATTGATACTGGTTGTTAAAAGAATAACTTTATTAGTTTAAAGATTTTATAGTTTAAGTATTATTTAATATAAATAAATGCTTTTCTTGGTGGAATGTCTTTTGTCTTAAATCTGATATTAAAATATTATATTTTTCATTTAAATATTGAGCTACTTCAAAAATACTGCACAATTTCAAACAGGTATATGAATACTGTTAAATGCATTTTTCACTTATTCTGCAGGATGTTCTGAAAATATTTGGGATAGGATGATAATTGCTTTTAAGTTATTAAAGTTTACATAAATTGTGTTTGTTTTTTTTAATTGTCTAAATAAATTTATTTTCGTATTGTTTTCCAAAAAAAACAACAACACCAATTTCGTTCTTCATCTTGGTAGTTTATAGTTTGAGGAATATTAGAAACATTTGCCTAACAGACATTTTTTCATACATTTCCAAAGCCTCAAGAAGCAATTTTTGCACTCAAATTGAGAGTATCATTTTTCTCTTTGTATGGTTCAAATTTATTCATCCAAGAAATCACTAGAGGATCCAGGATCTAATTTTAGGGGAACTTCAGCCCGAAAGCTTTTTTTTTCATAAAAATGACGATAATTACTTTGGAAAAAAAAAGAAAGAAACAAACTATCTATATGAAATGGTGTTTTAGTGATTCCTTAAGTCCTTTTAAATGTAATTACACGAAAAATAATACTTTAAAAGATAATTTTTTACCATAAAACATGGTTATATTTTACCATTTTTAGGGGAGGGGAGGGGGGCTTTAGTCTGAAAGTCTCCTCCCCTCCCCTCTCCGTAGATCTGCCCTGCAAGAAATATGCAAATGTGTAGATGAAGAACAACCAGGGATATTTTAAAATTCCTTTTTTTGGAATCAAAGAATTCTTAAGACTAAATTATGAGACCTCAAGAAAAAAATAAGGTTGTTTTTCTTCATTTCTTTTTCACTTTATGTAATCAAAGAATAAAACTAGCATTATCGGAATTTAGAAATGATGTTAAACTGTAAAGTTTTATAATGCATAAATGTAAAACCTCAGGTTTATTTACAAAATACAAGATCTTAGTCATGACTATTATTAGCTTGAAAATTATGAAATATTAATTATATGATCTATATTGGTAGTAATGTATTTATACTTAGATATGAGAGGACCATTAAACAAGCTAAATGGCGGAACAACATGAGACATTTTTAATTTTTTTTTTTGTTTTTTTAGAAGTTGTGTAGTGAAAACTTTTTCTTTGAATGTATTTAATTGAGGAAATAGATTCTTAAGAAATATATTTCATACGATAAATCTTAAAATTAAAGGGATTCAGTGTTATTTTTAAATGTAAAATTTTAATAAAAATGGTAAGATTGTTTGGCCTAGGCATAGAGGATCATACAGAAAATTTCTATTTGTCTGACAGCTGAATTGATAGTAGGACTCATACAAAAAAAAGAAGTGAAAGAAACTTCCTTAATTATATAAGTAATGTTAACTCTTTTGTAATGTTTGTTTAATTTTTTTGGAATGGATAACAAAAAAGTTATTCCATCCAGTGAGAACAATTCCGTATAAAACCATAATTCACATCAGACCATTGAAATAATTTTGACTAACTTTTGAAGAAGTACATAAGTATTGTCATTATAACAAATCCATTCTAATATTCTTTTAATTAAATACCAAATCATATATATATATTTTTTAATTTGAAGCATTGCATTATTTTAACAACTATTGTACTAAGAATGAATGCTTAATTTAATATCAGCAGAGAAAAAAACTTGTTAAAGGTTGTTGACCACCTGTGCCCAACAGTTAATGTATGTGTAAATTATCTGATAAACCATGTTTCTTTCAAAAGGTATTAAGCTATGGCTTTTGATTATGTTACTAAACAAAATAAAGATGTTCCAAGAACATCAGTATATATGTAATTATAAGATTTATTTTTGTGTTGAATTATACAATATTTTTCTAAAAATAAACAAAAACAAATGTGCATAATTATTACCATATTGAATTTACTTTGTTAGTGAAAATTGTAAAATAATTACTTACAACATATGTAAATGAATATGTAAACAATTATGCATCCTTTTATACTGGCATATACACATTCATAAAAAGCATCATAAATATATGCCAGATAATTAAAATTACTGAAGCTTTGGTAATAGATTAAATCGTATTAATTTTAATTTCGCATAATTTTTAATCATGAATAATAAACTGAATTTCAAATAAGTAATAAAATAAATCTTGGAAACTGGGCATGTCCAGTTTTATCCTGTATAGTATTTTGTTACAACTCCATCGTAATCTCTTAATCCTTTACTAAATCATGTTTCAAAGTTTATTAGATCCACAATATTTATGTTTTTTTTTTTTTTTTATAATGTATGTTTTTTTATCCCAGTTATGATATAATGGTCAATACAACTGGTAGTTACTTTTAGTACAGATATAATTAAAAAAGGGAAATATATAATTTTCTGTAACAGGAAGTATTATGAATGGTTTACTTACATCATATTGCTGAGATAGTGTCACTATATATAAACATTCCGAAGCAAACTGAGGTCCCTGACTGGCCACCTGTAGTCCCCCTCCCACACGACAAGATCGACCGACTCTCATCTATTTATATATCTTACCATACTGGCCAACTTTTTCCAGCAACTATGGAACAGAATCTGTGCCATCTGGTTTTTATATCAACTCTACTCTCTACTCAATACAAAAACTCTGGCTAAATAAAGTTCATTATCCTTTCGTTTCAAATTAGAAAAGAAAAGCTATTTATAATAGTTTCTCAGAACCATTTATTTAAAAAACAGTATTTCGAATTATAATATTAAACCTAAAAATTGAAATAGATAACAATTTTTATAGCAAAAAACTTTCTCATTACAGTATCAGAGTAAAACCTGATATAAATCTGATTTTATAGTTTATACACATAATTTCAAACACCTATAAATTTGATAAGTTTTAATTGGATTGGTTAACAAGAAAACATAAATAAATTTTTCATATCAAATAATGAATTAAAATAATCATGGATTAATTAATTTTTATCGAGTTTTTCATTTAACTGACATTTATAGCACAAAATAGCAGAACGTTATAGCTAATATACTTTATTTTTTATACAACAACAATTTTATATAAATATATATATATATATATATATATATATATATATATATATTATATATATATATATATATATATATATATATATAAAACATAACACAATTTGATAGAAAATGAAATGATTAGAAATTCTTAAAAAGACATTTAATTGTTTTCTAATATTGTTTCCCCATATAACTGAATTGACATTTACAAAATATTAAAAATCAATTAAATAATTCTAATTTATTTTGTTTAGAGTTAGTTTTTAGAATAATAAATTTTAATTTATTTTGTTCATGGAAAGGTTAAATAAACTTTTAATAAATTAAACTGCAATGATTTTAGTTATCTTCAGACTTCTAGTAATTAAAAATATAAGTTAATATTATATAAGTTTAACACATCTATTTTTTTAATCCATTAATTGATTATGTTTTAAACAATACAAAATACTATAAACTAATAAACATTCCCTAATAACATTAATATTTTATTAGATTGAATAATTTTATAATTAATCAAATTTATTTATTATATTTTTAATTCGTTAAAATGTCACTATTCCAACATTGTAATATTATTCTCATAGTATTTCAGCCACCATTCATTGTTATTAATATATCTAATAAATACATGCAGCTAATGGTCCAACAAAAAGGGACTAGTTAGTTCTAAAGTAACTGGAGCAACAGACACATAATGGATTTAGACACATTACTTGTCATATTTAGTTATCTCTCTGGGCTTGTATTATGTAGTTGTCTTGGTTTATTATTTTGGATTTTATGTACTAATGTAAAAGCCAAGAATATATTTGAATATCATCATTTGAAAAAACAAAAAAGGTATGTACCCATACCTTAAATTCAGTTATTTTTTTTCGATATATCGAGAAAATAATTTTATAACCATTTTAATTTATTTATTTTAATTATTTATTCAAGGAATATTATTTCAATCATAGATACAATTTTTTAACTATTCACTTAATAATTGGTCGGTTGTCTTAAAGGTCTCAGTCACCTTTAATTAAAAAAAAAAAACAGATTATTTTAAAGTTTCAATATAAAAGGTAAAAAAAAAATAAATAATAAAATAAATTTTATGATATCGTTGAAATATCACTAAGGCATTTTTAGTAGATTTAAATTATGTGATCTAACTACCAGATAAAACATAAACATACAAAGATCACCAATGGTTGTTTTTCTAAATACCATACTTCAAAAGTCAACCTAATTCACTCTAATAAGAAATATTTTTTTATAAAAATTACCAATAATAGTTTAATAATTAAAAAAAATATTTAAGCTTTATCAATATGAGTGTTAATTTATTTCTTGTATAAGAAATACTTTAATAAAATATCAATTTCAGAAACGAATATTCAAGAATTTAATCAAAATACTTACATCCCTTCAATTTGTAGTTCAAATAAATAAAATATTACTTTTTTTGTAATGATATTCTTAATTAATTAAGTAATTGCTAACGGCATGGCAAATTTAAGGAACATTAAATTTAAAGAAATAAGATTCTACTCCTAAGCCATGTTAGGAAATTAGTCAAAACTATATTTTTTATAAATATTTAAATTATTTTATATTATTAAAATTCATATGTGTGCATTATTATTGTTGTGAATGGAGTCTAAAAATCTTTGTAATGTTTGTGCTGGAATGAAAAGAGATTTTCTTTCCAAAAAGGGAAGAAACCTAAATGAACACCCTAAACAAATAAATTAACTTCAAGATTTGAAAATTGTCTTTGAAAGATATAGGAAAAGTGAAACTTACTGTTGGGGACAGAGGGGCTCTCGCAGCCTACTTTTTAAAAGGCGAGCAAGGCGAATCATGCGAGCAACCTCTAATAGGACTGCTTCTCGGCTATTTAATAAATCTTTGAGGTCATCACTCTTCACCATTTCTGCAGATTCAATGAGATCCTTAAGTTCTGCACAATGCTGAAATAAATATATCATATACTATAAGATTAGAATTGGAAAATTTAAAGAAAAAAAAAATATATTATAATATTAATTGATTGATAAAACCACAAGCTTTTGCTATACTTTCATAATAAAAGTTTGTATTATTTTATAAGTTTTTTTTTTACTTCTAATAATGCCTTTTTGAATAGGGGAATGGGTTTATTACATTATTAAATGATAATTTTACTGCAAGAACATTTGTTTTAATAAAAAAATAAATTAATTAATTTTTGTAAAATATTGAAATATTAGCATGATTCTTGTTGTAATTCATTTTTCTACAATGAATCAAACTACAGATATTTTTTTTTAATTGTGTTTCACACTCTTGGATTTTTTCCAAGAAGTATTTTAACATTGAGTTTCCATAAAAAATAAAACAGTTCTTCTCACTTCAAAGCCATTATCTATTGTTGGGGAATTTACTGCTAACTACTTTTAGTTTATTTAGAATGAAGCATGATTTCATCATTTGAAGTATATTTGGTAAATGCTAGAAATATAATGAACATTTTGCGAAATCTTCATTTATGTAAAGATTAACGTGCAATCGAAATATGCATAATATATTTCTTTTAAGCCTAAATATACACAAAAATCAAATTTTGGTCAAACGTGCAACATAGAAGTCAGCCAAAAAATTTAGAACGACTTGTTTCAAAAAGATATAAATTCATATTTATGAAAAACTAAGCAAACAAAATATGCATTTGCATATAAATCCGGGACTAAATTATAATAATTATAATTATAAGTTTAAAACAAAAAAAAAAAAAATACTTTTATTGATATTCGCATAATTTAATGCAGTAAGAATTGTTAATGATATGAATAACATCTTTAAAACATTACAATTGTTAGTGGCAAGTTATAGTTTTATTTTTCATTATAAATATTTTGATACATGTATATTTCAATATAAATAAATATCTTTACTCATAGATTATCAAGGACTTTAATATATTATTAAGTAATTCACCTTGTCTATATCCCTATGGAAAACAGCTGTAACCCTTAGTCTCGTCATATGGGCCTGACTAGCAGCTGTAAGGCTAAGCCAAGAATCAGTAAGCCTCTCGGACAGCTGCCTGTTCTCTGAATCCCCTAGTTTGCAGGCCTGTCGCAGGAGCAATGCTCCTCGCAGCAACTGGGATCCAAACTCATAAGTACACTGTTAAAGAATGAATAGATTATATTGGGTGAACACATCAAATGCACATAAAAAATTAAGTAAAATAATTAAACATTATAAATCAGTACGCAATATTAGAACTTGAAGATATATATTGATATATCTTAAAATAAATCACTAAGAGAATAAATGATGAGTTCAAGGGTGAAAAAAAAATATTGTTAAGAGAACTTTACTCTTGCTTTGACCTTGTCTCTTGAAACGAGAATGAACAACATTTTATGCTATTATTTTAAAAGTTTTTTGGTATTTAAAGGTTCAATAACCTTTAAAAATGTGCTATCATTTGAAGCATTTTTTGTTGAATGAAGTGATATAAATTAATAGATATTATGTTTTATATTCTTCCCCTGATGATTAAAAATGTTAGGATATGCCTTTAATATTTAGCAATTTTATTTAAACAATTGAAACTTCATTGAACGAAAGGACCACTAAATTAATTTTGATAAAAAAATAGATTGACAACTAGAATAAAATAAGTCCTATTTCGTTATTTCTGGAGACAATGAAAAACATCTTCATAGACATAAAATTGGTTTTTAGTGTGGTGGCAGTTTTTTTGTAGCTTTTATTTATCTAATAAATTGATTATGTTGCATATATTATATTATGCACTAGGAACTGGGTCACTTAAATTTTTAATTTCGATTAAATGGATTTTCTCAAATGATCGAGTCCGGAATATGGATTTGCTCAGGTTTATGAAGACAACTAATCAGCCAATTTAACAAGGTTAAAACTCCAATTGAAGTATGAGGTAATGCAACCAGCTTACCAACATATTTATACTATATTATTATACAAGTTCTAATACAATCTTACTTCAATTTCCATAATTTATAAGGGTACAAAAAACACAAGGGTACAAACTGCCTAATTCTATTGCTAATTCTTCTTATAATTTATACGACAATTTAAACTCAAAATGTTTTGGAAACATTTATTTGACACATGTATGGTTACCATTCAATCGGACATAAAATATACAAATGATGTTAATTATTTACCTCATTTTAGTCAAAAACAGAGTTGGGCAATGTTAGAACGTATTACACCATATGCTTCTACAATTCATGCTTCGAGGGATATTCTATAGAAATTTTAATTCTAATTTAAAATTTTATTTTATTTCCTCCTACATTTTGACTTTAGGTTAAATTTAATTAATAATCACTCTCAATTTTTAGATTATTGTTTATTAATTTTAATCAAAGTAATAAAGAATAATCTACAAATTGAGAATGATCATTTCCTGAATTGGACCAATAGGCAAAAAGTAAGGGCAAGAAAATTTGATTTTATTAACACTAAAATTTTTTTAAATTTACATATTATGAATGCCATTTATTTAGTTGTTTATACCATCTAAAAACTAAAGCTTCTTAGAACTTATTTATACTTGTTAAAACCTATAAATATGTTTACATGACATGTACTATTTTTATAAATAAACCTTTACAGTATCTACAAAATAACTTAATAAACAGGGACAAAAAATAAATAAAAAATTAAACCTTTGCAGTTTCTTCAAAATTTTGTTGTTCTTCTTTCTGACGTTGAATTTCATAGACACTACATCCAACTTCAGCATGCGACATAAGCATTACTTCAAAAAGTTCATCTAGCCACATGATTGCCTTGAAAAAAAAATAATTTAGCATTATTTATGTCTCCATTTTAATAGTCAAAAATTACCAAAATATTCATGTTCATGAAACTTACCTGAGCAGCATCATTTTCATACGTAAATACATGGGAGGCTTGTTGTAAAGTTATTCTTTGAAGTTCAACATTATCCCTGAATAGTTCAGAGCGGGCACGAGACATTTCGAGGATCTCAGATATATTTGTGATATCTGGGCCGTAGTCTATTATCACCTCTCTCCCTAGGTAATAATAAATAAAATCAGTTTTTTAAGTCAAGAATTATTTTTTTACTGGAAAGCACCAGACAACCCATTCTTAAATTAGGATAGAAATATCAATCAATCATTATTTCCAAAGCTTGAATGGCCTAGAACAAGACCTGTTATTTAGATGCTAATTCAATATTTTTTAGTTCAATATATTTATTTATTATCACATAAACAAAATTATGAAATGTTCCTTAAGAATTGAACTTTCAATCAATATGTATTAATTAAAAGGTCAAAAAGAGATTTACTAGCCTATAGATATACTAGCACATAAGGAGAAATACCTAAGGAATCTTTAACAGGCATGGAAAGTAAATCTGAGAGCTTTTCTCCTTCCCTCATCACCCATTCTTCAAGTTCATCTAAAATAAGCAAATTGTAAATAAGTTAAGAAAATAAAAGTCCCATTCATTTTCTAACTTATAAATATCTTTGTATAAAATTAATAGAATGATTCATAAATAGTGATATGTAATTATATGGTTATGGTTTCAATATTATAGATGTATTGAATTTTTTCCATATATCAAAATATTTTAAATAAAAATTAAGTTTTATTTCTGTATAAGTGATTTTTTTTTAACATTACCAATAGTATTTTGGCTATCTTGAAGTTGAAGAAGTGTTGTTTGAGCTTTATCCAAGACTCCAACATCTGGAGTCATGACCAATTTTTCATAAATTTCACTAGTTGTCTGAAAGTACTGCAAAATTCATACTTTTAAAAACCAATTGTTCTATTTTTTATTATTATTTATTATATATGATAATTGTAAACTATATCATCAGCCACATTGCAAAATCCTGTAAGTGCAAAAACTACAAATATTCACAATACATATTTTTTATTTTATGAACAATAGATTTTCATTAATTTTTATTGTTTGTTTAAAACAAATATAAAATTGTTTAAGTAAATATATTAGTTTGTATTTCTCAATATGCCCGAGGCTAATATTGACCAGGAAATCTTAAACCGTGTTTTCCAATAAAAATGTATTTACATGCTTCAGCAGAGTGGCTGTTGATATGCTGATAAATATTAATTCAGTGATTCAGAAGATTTATAAAGTTAAAAAGAAACCTACCTCTGCTACTAAACGAAAAAAACGTGCTGAAGAAATGAGAATATTCCTTCTTCTCTCTAATCTAGAAGCGAAACCTCGAATTACAAAATCCATGAAATCTCTTTGTGCTCGCAAATCGCTAGGTATTTCTAAGCCACTGCAATCTAACTTGTGCAGAAGTTCTGCATATTGTCCATATGTTTCCTATAAATAATTTTACTATTAGAAAAAAGTAGTTAAATTGCTATATAAGTTTATTTAATTTTATTCAAACTTCAAATAGAATTGGGATTTGTTCTCAACATACCAGTCCATTACTTTAAAATTATTAATAAGCTCTATAATCCAGGTCCTAACAACTGTTATTTCAGACCTTAAAGGTTTTTTATTTAGAATTTCCCTCAGCTGTGTAATTCTTTTCTTCATATTACTACGGATTTTCTTTACCTGTCATTCACAAAAAGCTATTTGCTGCCTCTGTTTCCTTTGTTTATGGACTCTAAAAGTGTCAACTTTTGTTATAAAGTTGACAAAAATTTCTATTTCTTCGGCTTCTCCTAAACTCTCCATCCTTTACAGGGTTGGGAATTCTATACAGAATATTTCATTCAGGAATGAGAAGACCTTTTTTGCCATTACATGAAAACATATTTGGGATTAATAATTATCAATAGTTCCACTTATTCGCTAATGGCTGAAAATCAATTTTTTTTATTTTCTAAATAAAAGGCAATTAAGAAGTTCAAATTTGTTAACTAAGTGTGTTCCTATGAATTTAAACTTGATAAGTTCATGTTTGGGACGAATAAAAGATGTTTTATAATTCTGGCAAGATTTAAGAGAAAGCTGAAGACAACTTTAACAATTAACTTTAATTTAAAATAAAAAATCTGGTGTGTTGTGTGCATCACACATTTTTCAATTATCACCCTCTTTTTAGCAGAATGAAGTATTTCCAGACAAAAGGGGAAGTGAAAGTAAAAATTATAGAAACTATATTTATTATATTTCATTGAGGGTATTTTTATTTATATAAGTACTCTTATATACACAAATTTTAATATTTATATTTCTCTAATCTGTACTTTTCGTTTTTGAGTTAGACTGTTAACACGCAGGCACGCACACGCGCATGCCCATGCCCACGCACACGCACACACGCACGCGCACACACACACACACACACACACACACACAGACCATTTTGCAGGACTTGGTTATTTGAACTCAGGGGATCTCAAAACGTGTATTTCTGTTGAAAACTGAGATTCAAACATTTTCACGATCGCAATACTTTCCTTTTCTATATATTTCATATATAGGTAAGTGAAACTAAAATACTTAGTAAGCCAAATATATTAATGTATCAATACCCTGCAAGAAAGTTCTAATTGTTCATGCTCTCGCCGCAGCTGCTCTGCTGAGGTAATGTCGAATCCTACATGACAATGAGTTGCTAGAAGCTCTTCACCTTTTGTAAGCAACCACTCTGTAACAGACTTCACTCCCATCTCAAGTTTTTCAACCTCCTAAAAAATAAAATACATTTTAGAAAATAGGAAACGCTAATCACGTCCATTTCAATACAAAATTATTTTTTGGGAAAAATTCCCTTTTGAAAACAATAAATAATTAATAAGTACAAATATAATCGTCCTGATATATTTATAAATATCTGACTGATAAAAAAAAAAAAAAAAAAAAAAAAAATTGTAATGAAAAATATATTTAAAAGTGACCTTTGAATCAGCAATTGATTTGTTTAAGGCTCCCCAGGCTGTTTGAAGTGCTGTTAGTTTCCCCCGCGTAACAGATACTTCCCTCTCTAGCCTCTGTCGAGTATCAAGCACATCCTGCCCAATAGTTTCTGTCATTCTCCCCATACCGAGGTCATCAAGCAATGCTCTACCTAATTTCAATTAAATTATATCATTCTTTTAAATAAAGGTATATACTTGCATGTACAAAATTTTAAATTGTTTTGTGAATTAATGTTTGATTATTTATATTTATTAAATAAACTCTTGGTATAATACAAAAGTATGCATTTTAAATTAATATTAATTTTAGGAGACAGAAAATACAATTTTTAAAGTTATATAGTCAACAATATTAGATTGTAATACATTTTTTTTAGTAATTTCTGAGCCGATGAATAGCTAAAATGATAAAAGAAAGACAAGATAGTATGAATGGTAGATGCAGGGGTACCCAAAAAGAAGTTTCGTGGCACAAGTTGTGCCATAAATATTTATGAGGGGGGCACTTTTTGATGAGGTTTTCAATTTTTGAGGGGAGCACAATTCGACAGGGTTATGAATTTTCACAATGAAAAGATTCAAATTAAAAGACAAGTGGAAGCATGGAACAGACCGCAGGATGTGTAATTATATACAATCTCTGAATATTTAAATTATACTTTCGTTTGTACTTTTTTTAAGAAGAAGAGCGGAATAAAATATCTTGGGAGGGGTAGAGGAAGGTTTATGCGCCATCGGCCTAGGGGATGATGGGCACCCCTGGGTAGATGGCATGATGCTAGTTGTCTTTTTTAAGTGCATATTTTTTATCTGTTCGCATTTGTTTTTTAATTCATGGTAAATGATAAATGTTTTGTTATTAAAAGAATATCATCACTTAAATTAAAATCTACGATTTAGTAATATTATGTAATAAGTTAGCAACCATTAAAGTTTTGATTTACTCTTGCTATATTATATTAAAAAATAAAACAATCAATATTCAATACAATGAATAAATGAAAACACAGAATTAATTTCTGCCAAAGAAACCAACCTTGTTGAACAAGAGCTGCGGCCGCTTGAGCTGTGTTGTTGTATGTTGCCCTAGTTTGAGTCATCGTCCGGGCAGCATTGTTCATTCCCTCCTTTGCTCCAGTCAGAAGACGAGTTACTCGATCTAACTCAGTCTGAACCTCACCGCTTTCATGAAAAAAGAGATCAGCCTTCTGTAATTCAAATGAAATGCACTTAAAATAAAATAAATACAAATTAAAACATTGTATAATAATAAATTTTGGTACATAAATCAGTACTGAAATGTCCTGAAAAATCCACTTTACAATAGCTATGGTATAGGGACAAATTTTATGGTATAGGAATTAGATATTATAAGTATGGTTATTAGTATATTCCAACTGCCTGACCTATTCATATCGTCACCAGGAAGTGGTTTTGTTAAGTACCTGGTTTTATTTTGTAGATACATTGTTTTTGAGATGAGGAACCTGATGATTTTCACCAATCTAGGTTCCTAACCTGAGAAACTTCACATTCCATTAAATTTAGCAAAAAGAAAATTTAGTTCATCAACTAATACCTACAAGTTTGGATTAGATTCATTCATGCCATGCCCAGACATACTAGGCCATCTCACTCCCTTCTTTCGAATATATCTGTACCTCAGAGGTAAAGAACACCATGCCACATTTTTTTATTTTTTTAGAGGAGCCAATTTTACCTAACTTTGTGTTATCAAAATTTGTTTCTCAGTAACTAAATCTGTACCCAAGGTAAAGAATACATCATCAGATTTTTATATTTGTTCAGGAGAGACAATGTTTCATAACTTTGAGCTATTAAAATTTATTTCCTAGTTATTAAATTATTTAATTTAAAAATGGTCATTGTGTCCTTTACCTCTGGGGTACAGATATTTGTTTATAAAATAAAATTTTTAACTTTCATGACATTAAGACAGTTATAATATTTCTTTATGATTAGTAAATGATAACCCAATAAAATTACTGAATTACTGTTCAAAATATTGAATATTTAATTACTAATAAATTTTATATTTACTAATCAAACTAATAAAACATTTATATTTTATAGTTCTATACTTTGCAAACTCTACAAGTCATTTAAAAACATAAGTTATAACACAAATATTAACACTTATATAATTAGAAAGAAGTAAAACTATTGATCACAAGTAAAGCTATCAAATGTCAACATGAATTGAAGAGGGTTATGAATCCTTTATATTTGAAATGTATTTACTATTTCTTTAAATAAGTTCTAATGAATGCCGTAGAACTAAAACTACCAACTGATGAAGTACCTGCTGGTAGAAAGCATTAGATTATTTCAGGGGTGCTCATTCCCCCCCCCCCAAGGTGGCACTGAAACCTACCATGATATTTTACTGCGAATTACAAAAATCGCAGATAACCTTGTCGAAATGTGTCCCTCTCAAAAATTAAAAAAAACAGTCAAAATATGCCCTCTCAAAATTTTTGATGGTGCAACTTGTGCCATGAAATCTTCTTCTGGGTACCACTGGATTACTTGACCCATTGAAAAATAATTCTTTAATTTATAAATTGAAAAATTAATTTACTGTTAGCTATTTATAACTCGAAAATAGATTAAAAACAATGGACCTTTATTATACCCTCTCCTCCCTCCCTCCCAAAATAATAACAATATAAGATAGGTACCTATAGATAATCAACTTCAGTCTGTTAATAGGTTTAATTTCTATTGCTAATTAAATTAAGTTTGAAAGAATGAAGTATATTTTATTGTTATAAATTTTTTTTCAACTTAAGTAAAATAACTTTTGAACAAAATAATTCTAAAAATGTGAATAATAATATTAACAATACTTTCAGAGATGTCATAGATAGGAATTATTTATGGCCCCATAGGTAAACTTACCACACGATCTCGGAGCCACTGTTCCCTATCATGCGAAAGAGTTCCACCAAAATCCTCAGGCAATTGCGACAAATCTATGTATTTTTGAAGTCTTGAAGGGGGTATAAACACTGGCTAAAATCATAAAAAAAAAAATTGGACATCATTCCAAATTAAATATTCAAACTTCCTGAAATAAATAATTGAATATCACATATCATATGTAAAGTTATGTTGTAAGTAATAAATCAATAAAAATCACATCTATTTTTCATTGTCAACTAGGCAAGGATACATATAGTGTATGTGATTCAAAGCAAAATATTTTGAGTTATTGAGTTTCTTTCTTCAAAATTTCTTGCTAATAGATAATGAGAAACAAACGAATTTTAAATTACACACAAGCAGTTTGGCTTTATGTTGTAAGCAAACTGTAGTGTTAAGGTACATTCTTGCCGAAAGTAAAACCAATACTTTGTTATGGAATGCTATGAAGTAATATGCCATAAGTATCGGCAATTGGAAAATATTGGAGGGGGTTGGGGCGAAGGTTAGCGTAGCATAATAACAATGTTCAATTCATTGGAAGAAGGAAGGGGGATAGAACACCATACATAAGGAACCAGCTCAGTAATGAGTTTATTACCTGTAATATTAGATAAACATTAACTATACAGTTTATTTTGAACTTTTTGTGAGTTATTTTAAAGTATATGATTGGGAGATACTGGAGGAGCTGGCTGCTAATGTTGCCCAAATGCGAGACCGAGACGAGTCTTGGTCTTGCACACTCAGTCTTGGTCATGGTTTTGGTAATGGTATACCAATTATTAACATATACTAACTAAGATTGTCAAGTATTAGTAACTATTTCGCCTTTATCTTTATTTAAAAAATCGATTTTTTTTACCAATCCTGGTCTTGGGCAACACTACTGGATGCCCATCATAAAGCATTAGGAAACCACAAAAGTGCCTTGCCTTCCCTCCTGCTTTCCCTGGTGCCTACACCTATGAGTATATAACTATACATTATCCAGTAAAGAAAGCTGGAGTATTTAATTATTAATAACTTTTAAGTGCTCAAAATAGGAGCCTTTATAGTTAATGAATAAATCAACCTCAATTGAATATGTTTATCAAGAGTTTCTTTTGATTGGATGGGTTATTATTTGTAAATATTTTATACGGTAAATGTTTCTATAATTTAGTGAATGTTTCTATAATTTAGTATTTATTTGACCACACCTCCCATTTCCCCCATCCCTCTGATCAACTCCTCATATTATATCACAGTCAACCATCTCTACATCATTGTAATATCTAATATGTGAATCTACCATCCAGACTCCATCTAACTGTTCTTAGCAAAATACAGATTCCCTTTAAAAAAAAAAAAAGTTGAGGAATGAAATGAAAAATAAAACATTTAGATCTGGAAGGTCTTGATCCCCTAGTTCATTAGCCACATTAGATTCTTGTCCTAACTAAAAGTTGAAAAACAAAAAATAATTCCCACCAATAATAATAGAAAATTGCGAACGGAAACCTCATATCCAATTTTAATCAGCATTCCTGATAACCTCCTGATCGGGCCAAATACTGAAGAAATCAGAAAATAAAAAATATTATCTTGATGACGCCATGACGTCTGTCTCGCTTTTCCGTATAATGCACTTATTTATTTATTTATTTTTTTGCCAAATTTTTAGTTTAACGTTCGCAGGATTGTCCATCGTACGCACACACAAAACAGATATTTGTTTACACCATTTAAAGAAATGAACTTGAATTATTGAAGTTTGTGTAGGGACAATAATCGTAGAAAATGATTATCTCTTATTGTTATATGCTTACATTTACCAGCTGTTATGAAAACACATCAGATTTTTTTTATTACAGGGCCATTTCCATTGCCATTTCTGGCATATGGGGAGATTATTTTAAAGGCACAGCCGAACCTATTCTTGCAAGAGTGGGAAGGTCGAGATGCATAAATAAATAAATTTCAATCCAGGCCGGAATCATAAAGCGGATAACACTCCAACATGCTCGTCCAGCACGGCCTCAAACCATTAGATGCTTGACGCCTCGCCTTCCATTGTATTTCTTTATTCTTAGTACCATTAAAAACTAATATTATTATGGAGCGAAAGCCTCCCCCCTCTTAATTAATGTTAAGAACTCACCTCAGGAGAGGACTTGGCGCAGTGGTCGACACTCTTGTCCCAGAAGGCCTCTGGCCTCAGAATGAGGCAGGCGACGTTCTCGTCCCCGATGACAGCGCTGAGGATACGGCCAGCCCTCCGTCCACCAGGGTGACCATCCACCACCAGGCGGATACCGCTCCTCCTCGTTTCTTCGCTGTGAATTAGATATACTTTACTCTTCACAAAAACACACATTCTATTAATTATAGAAGGGGCTGAGATCTCATGTGAAATACACCATACCAAAAGAATGAGAGAGGAAGTATTTGTTTATCCTAAATTGAGACAAAAGAATTTTGGAAATAGATATTATCATTGTTGAAATAAGAGGTATAGCTTACTATTTTTTTTTATTTTTATTTTAATGAAATTTACAACTGTATTACATGAAAAATACAACAAGTAAATGTGACATTGGTAACATGACATGTACAACATGAAGAATAACTACCCATCGGTAGAATTCAAATTAAAGTTCTATATTAGAAGGTCCCGATGCCATCTTCTTTTCAGATACCTCGGAGGGTTAGATTTGAAAAGAGAGGGTTCGGATGGTTCTGCAGTTTGTTATGGACGGATAGGTATCTGGACTGGGTCAAATCGGAAACATATGGAACATTAAGGTCTTTATGGATGATTTTATTTGTGACAAAGTAAGGAGTGTTGAAGAGTTTACGGAGGATTTTGGATTGTAAGCATTGGATACGAGAGGAATTCGATGGTTTAGTGGAGTCCCAAAGCTCAATTCCGTAAGTCCAAATAGGTATTATTATTGTCAAATATATGAGTCGTTTATAATTGATTGAAAGCTTAGAGCGTTTGTCTAGTAAATGCTGCAGTAGTCGAAAACGTCTGGCGGTTTCTAGTCGTTTCAGTTTGGTATGGTTGTTTCAAGTGAGTCGTTTGTCCAGGTGGAGTCCTAGGTATCGGATTCGTTCGACAGGGATAAGAGGACTATTGTTGAAGGATACTGTAGGACAGGAAGTCATAGGTTTATGACGAAGTGTGAAGGTAATTTGATGGAATTTATTTTAATTCTCCAGTTTTGACACCATTTTTCAAGACTTGTGATGTGTGATTGAAGAGTTGGGGATGCAATAGATGGATCGTTATTAACTGATAGGATATACGTGTCATCGGCATAGGTGGTGATGACAGTGTTGGATTGGGTTGGGACGTCAGCTGTATAAACTGTGTAAAGGATAGGACTTAGGATACTACCTTGAGGAACACCGCAACCTGAGTTAAAATAGATGAATAAGCATTGTTAGCTTATTATTTAAAATGGCTATTCTGTCCGTTATATTTTTTTTCCAAAACAAATTAATTTAATTTTACTAATGAGTTTATTTCGAATAATCGATACGGTGGACCTGAACCAACGTCGCGATATTACTATATAAAACAGCCGTTTTAACTTTTGTTTAAGATACTTAATCATAATTAGCATTAAACGCAATCTTTCTCTTAGTTCTAAGCGTGACTCGCGAGTTGGAGAAGCGAGGATATCATCTTAATTCAAATAAAAAACTGGTATATTGGTATTGGAACGGAACGGTTGGTTGAGTAAAGAGACCAATTGTTTAAATAAGGAAGATGTTTGAAGGTAAATAGTGTTTACCTATATTCGTAAAAGTAGAGGAAAGACTTATAAAAACTGCCACGGCCCAGTAGCCATATACCAGTTATGGATCTATGTGCATCAACGGATGTCGATGTATTAAGAAGCACAAGCGGATCAACGGGGGGAGGGAGGGAGGAGTGGAGAGGGGCTTTCGGGCTGAAGCTCCGCCTTCTCTTTACCAAAATGGTAAAACATGTCTTATGAAAGAAATACTTTAAAAAAACAACTAAGGTATGTGCTTTAGACCACACGATAGAAATGAAAACACCAACAAGGCGAGATTAACAAAATGAAATATAAATTATAAATAAATAATGGCTCATTATTCGCTTACAGAAAGCAGGTCCGAATTTTAGTTTCTGAGTTATTTTAATCCATATCTTCCTTAAAACTCTTTATCATTTGATTTTCGACACTATTTTTCCCTTCCGCATCCTTAACACGGCGTCGCGTAAAGATATAATTTTGAATAGTAACTCATTATAAAGAGGATGAAATGATGAACATTTCCCTTGCTAGCAATATACAGGTCCGATTTTTAGCTTTTGACAAATTTAAACCCATATGCAAAAATACTTCAATTAGTCGACTTTATTCGAGCGTTACACATCGGAAATCTGACGACTCAATCTAATTCACTCTTCACAAAAAAGTGCAAAACGTGCCTAAAGAAGTTTTCACAACAAAAATTACCTCTAAAAGTATTATTGTTCGTGTAATTACATTTAATAGGATTTCAAGAATCATTTAAATACCATTTCATAAAGGTAGTTAGTGTCTTTCTTCTTTTTTCAAGTAATAATCGTTGTATATATATATATATATAAAAAGATTTCGGACCGAAGTTCAAAATTAAATCCTGGATCCGTTAGTGTTAAGAAGAGCACGTTATTCAAATAACACGACATTCGAACGCTTCTTCATGGTTCGTTGGCAGAGAAACTAAACCTTTACACCACAAGGACAGAAGATACGTTACACTTTAATTCTTCAGGGAGGAACAACCTTGCATTAAAGTTTGGAAATAAAAGCTCAGTATGGAAATGATCGAGGCAGAAATGTTTTTTTAGTGTTTAAAGGTCTCTTTGCTTCAACTAGGACAGGAAGTACGGCTTAACTACGGGTTACCAATATGTTATAGCAAATGAGGAACGAATCTCGTTATGTTATGTAATTTACAGCGGTGAAACTGAACAAAATTACATTGTAGGAAAGTTTATTGATCCATAAACAAAACTAAATACTTATGTTGAATGTTATTGATTGTAAGTAATACAATAATTTAGAATTATTTTGGTATTGTTCACTATTATGCTCTTTGATGCATTTACAACCCTCCCCCCCCCTCCTTTCTCCTCTACATGGGGTTATAATGGAGGGAGAGAGAGGGAAGATTAATTTCGTAGATCCGGCACGAAATAAATTTCAACCCATCCAGGCCATGTTTGAACAATCGATAGACGGGAAAATGATAAAGCGTACAACGCTTTTACACGCTCGACCACACACCTCTTGATGCACTGACTTGTAGAACAGTTTTAACAACCATTCATGGCAAAGATTTTGGGAAAGCGAGTTCTATCAAGACTTAAGGAATGTTTCACTTTCACGCTTATTTACTTTCGTTATGATGTATGATGTACTGTGATGATGGGATCACTCCGAAAACCGCATCTCACCAATATAATAACTTTCTTTTTCCGATACCATAACATTGATCAAAGTAAAGTATTATGAAGATATATATTTTCAACTTAGTGCAATATAACTAAGTTCAATATATTCAGATAGCTAAAGTGAATATTTGTCGTCGATAACCAAGGTTCGACAATAACTTCAAAATGTTTTATGTTAGATTATAATGATTTGAAAGTATCGTATTAAAAACTTGGAAAAACAGTTAATGAATGAAATACATGATCATCAGACCCTCATACATTAAACGAATACACAGAGAATATCTTATAACTAATACGCACAGATCTTTCACATTGAAAGAAGGCACAATTTCTGAGGTACTTGATGTTAATTTTTAATAAAACATAATACATACAATTTTTTTTTTTTAATTGAATCAAGCGTAGAATATAAATAGAACTTTTCGGAATATTAATACATGTCATAAATTAATAATGAAACAAACTTTTAAATGATACAAATTTTCAGATAAGACGTATAGTAAATCCAATAAAATAAATGTATGTAATAAACTGATACGGTATATATATATTTCAATAAAATATATTCCTATAATACAATATATTATCCTAGAGTAAGTTGTGATGAATTGAGTAAGATACCTCGGAGCGAAGTGGGCTAGACCAGTTGTCCCCATCGATCCTGTACTAAGACTGGAAAGAAAGTGTGTTAAACGCTCACTTTCTGGTGACAAGATGGATAGTCTACTTTTTACTTCATATTACAAATTTTGTGGACGCAAGATGCAACCAGCAATGAGAATTAATAATAACCTCAGTTTATTGCAAAAAGTCTTTAAATAACATTTCATTATCTCAAATAATTAAGAACTTTGTTATTAAATAAATTTTCCCATTGTGAAATCAGAAAATAGTATATTTAGGTTAACTAGACAGGGTGTTTCGTAATTGCACAGCATTATTTTAGCTATGTGTTCATTTCCACAAAATAAACAAAAAAGTTCATATTAACATATATATCAAAATAATTTATTAAACAGATATCAAAAGTTAAAGATTTATTATTTATTATTATTACAACATTTACTATTATTATTACAACATTTATTTATTATTTGTTATAATCTTGTGGTAACAAATCTTGCCTACTCGATACGTGCAATGGATACAATTGTTTTTCGCGTAAAGTTCACCATACGGTGGTAGAGGAAACATCGAAACGACGTGAAAATCTGGGTCTCGTAGTAGAAGATAACTGAACAGTATTTCTTCTCCAACATTTGCAGTTCGTCGAAATCTTTGTCGACGGGCATTTACTCGTATAGGTTTTAGAGTGACATTATCCATAAAGCGTCTTTCAATGGCACCAAACGTTCGGTTAGGAAATTGTTCACGATATCTTCGAACAGCAGCAGCACCCTTTCTGTGCACCTCGCCAAGTTAAAATGACTGTTTGATCTGCAAAAGTGAATAAATTTATGGTGTCTCCCATGATAATCATAACTTGAACTGTATTACAGTATTCACTCACACTAAAACACAGAACTAGATAAACAGATGAGCAGCTACTGTCATTGCTTATCGTTCATTTGTTTATCAGGTGATCAATATCTGTTATTTAGTATTAAACACGTTAAACTTTGTACAGTCAGTCTTAATGTAGTAAATAAATGATAAATTTTTAACCTTTGATATTTGTTTAAAAAATGAGTTTGAGATATATGTTAATATGAACTTTTTTGTTTATTTTGTGTTAATGAACACATACCTAAAATAGTGCCGTGCAATTATGAAACACCCTGTGTATGGCAATTATGGCAAGGATCAATGATAAAGACGTGATTTTGAGGAAATGTTGAAAAAAAATCTATG